GGGGAGAAACTTATCCAACCCTAGACAGGCTCCAGCACACTTTCCAGTGGTTTTTCAGAGGGAAAAACCATGCTTGCAAGATCTCCAGCCAGTTATTGCTTTTTGTCTTGCATCTTTTTAGCAGTGCTCACATGAGGATGCAGCAGCACGTGGCTTCCTGGCCCCTTGGGCTGGCCATGTGCTTGCTATGGCCATGGCAGGACTGGGTGGGATCAGCACCTCTCCAAAAACCTCCCAGTGCTCTGATTCCTCCCGAGGTCCTACACCAGCCAAACATTGTGCAGGTCCCTGGCACATCACCAATGAGCAACATGGTGGCTCAGGAAAAGGGCCAACAAAGGGTTGTGGCTTTGCCCATTTCATGCTTCTTTCAGGTTTCCCTGGCTGTTGAAGCTATGGGGACATTCACAGTTCCAGGCTTTTTGTGGAAAAGGACTGCTGGTGACTTTGCTATACTGCTCTCTGTCACCTCCACAGCTTTGCCCACACTAAGCCGTTGACAAGCACTGACAGCTGGGTGATGTATGGTCAGGGTGTTTTGGGATCCCATCTTTTCCTCCTCCTTCCCATTTGCTGGTGACTGTGGTCTGTCCTGTATTTGGGAACTGCTTATCAGTGACAGCAGGCTGAGAAGCCCCACTGCTGTATCACCTCAGTGGTTAATAATAACCTGGGTGGAAACTTCTGGTATCAAAGGGAAGGCTGTGCCACACTGGGTCAGGCTAGTTTAGGCTCAGGCTGTGCCTTGCCTCCAGCCAGACCCAAATTTACTCCTGGCCCAAGGTGTTAGGGCGGGATGTGGGGTGGGACATGTGGTGCTTCACTGGCCCTTGGGATGTTTCAAGAGTGAAGAGATCAGTTTTTGATGGGCAAATGGATCCCAGTGGGTCCCAGCATCCCCTCTTGACCCCCTCTTTTCCTCAATGTAACCTTGGCAGGCTCAACACCACTGTGGCCCCCTTGATCTTCGCTGACCAGTTTCTCCAGATATCCACATCGCTCCCATCCAGGTTCCTCTATGGACTGGGGGAGCACCGTGGCAGCCTCCTGCACAGCCTGGACTGGAATACCCTCACTCTGTGGGCACGCGACGTCGCTCCCACGGTACATCTGTCCTGTCCCCAGAGGGGTGCAGGGGGTGAGGGCAGGGGTGCTGCTCTCCTGTACTTTGGACAAGCCCTGGGAAAACATAGCAGGGGTGGGCAGCAGCACTGGGAGGGGCGGGGGATGATCAAGGCTGACAGGCAGGTATGTGCCAGGGAGAATTTCAGAGCAATTGCAAAATGCTCTTGGCACTCCGAGGGCACTGGGTGTTTTCCGCTCCACCCTGCTGCTCGTGCAATGTGTTGTGGTGAGGCTTTCCCTCTCACCCAGCCCAGCTCAGTAGCCCCTGAACAGCAAGGAAGAAGCAGCCTCCCATGGCCTTCAGCACCAGCCCTGAAACCATCCTCGTCCCTTGCCTTGTCCTCCACAGGGGTGACAGGTTCCTGGTTAGGTGGTGGAAGCATATGCAGCTCGGGGCCTTTTATTCACCCCCAGTGACATGGGGCTCTCCTGCTTTGCCCTCTCTGCTGTCTTACCTGGCACCTCTTCCTTGCAGGAATCATTCAACCTCTACGGCGCTCACCCCTTCTACCTGCTGATGGAGGAGGGCGGAGATGCTCATGGGGTTTTCCTTCTCAACAGCAACGCCATGGGTAGGTGTGTTAGGGGACCCCAGGCCAGCTGGTCCCTGGTGGAGGACCTGGCAGGTGGGGACAGATGGGAACTACGGGAGTGGCCAGTTTGGGAACCTGAGGTAAGAGGAAGCCATAAAAGGGAAAGATGTGGTTTGATGGCTCCGTTATTGAGCGCAGCCATCTGTTTCCTGGCTACAGCGAGGCTCTTTAGCAACTGCCGAGCAGTTTAACCACACGTCCAGCTGCTGAGTTGCCATCAGGAAAGCAAGTGCCTTCCATGCAGGTCCATGCCTATTCCCCCCTCCTCTGAAACATCCTTGCCCCCAGGCCCGGCGGCGTGGCATGGCTGGGGTGCAGCCGAGGATGCCGTCTGCTGCCCGTGTTTCCCCAGCTGTGCTGCGCCAGCTGCGGCCGTGGGATCTGCCCGTGTGTGCCAGCTGGTAACACAGCAGCTCCTGCGGGCTCCTGCCGTGTCGGGGGCGGCACCGGTGACCACCCAACCCTCCCAGCAGCTGCTGCTTGCAGCCAGCTGGGGCGATGCTGTGCACACCGGGGCTCTGGCAGCTCCAGCTGCGCTGGGATCTGTTGCAGCCATGCTGCTGAAGAGGAGCTCGTGTGAGATGCAGCCACCCGAGCTGAGGTTTGAGGGCTCATTCATGTGGAAAGCCCTTCCCAGGAAAGGCCTTGCTCCCACACACTCTCTTGTACGAGTAGCTCTAGATTCACTTAGGAGGGGGCTTTGGGGGAGAACATGAAGGAAAGCACTGCACTGCACGTGCTTGATCTTGGTCTAGCAGTGGAAGCTGGTGCAGCTTTGAGCTTAAAGAGCAGATTTTTAAGATAGCATAAACCACTGATCTCCCATGGGCTGTGATAATTTAAGCTTCCAGACACCCATTTAGCATCCACTTAGTGCAAGGCAGGGATTTGTCTATTCCCCTGAGCATTGCCTGTGGTGCTGCCTGGTCCCCATCATGTGGGCTGAGGTCTGGAGGTTGCTCCCCAGTTGTCACTGTCTTTTTCTCTTCTCCTTCCCCCTCAAAGAGGTGGCCCTGCAGCCTGCTCCGGGCCTGACCTGGAGGACCATTGGAGGGGTGCTGGATTTTTATGTCTTCCTGGGGCCCGATCCCAACATGGTCATCCAGCAGTACCAGCAGGTGATAGGTAAGTGCCCGCACCCCACCATGGCTATCTGCAGGCACCTCCCCCATGCTCACATCCCCATCTCACCCCAGCTTCACCACATCCCCAGCCCTCCCAGCTGGGGAGGGATCAGCCTCCCCCAGCCCTCCCAGCACATCAGGGGTCAGCGATCACCTCCTTTTCCCACCTCTCCCCTTACCTTCCCATCCTTTTGAGATGCTGCCGTCATCTCGGGACACTCCAGCCATGCTTCCATTCTCCCACTGCAGGTTTCCCAGCCATGCCACCCCTCTGGGCTCTCGGCTTCCACCTCTGCCGCTGGGGCTACGGATCCAGCAATGGGACCTGGCAGACCGTGAGAGCCATGAGGAACTACCAGATCCCCCAGGTAATCCCTCAGACCCGTGGAGTGGGGGGTCCAGGCTCCATCCTTCATCCCTGAGCCTCTGTCCCGCAGGATGCACAGTGGAATGACATCGATTACATGGATGGGTACCGGGACTTCACCTTCGATTCCCAGAAATTTGCCTCCCTCCCCTCGCTGGTGGAAGACCTCCACAAACATGGGCAGCGCTACGTTATGATCTTGGTACTCCCCCTCCTCTCCCCCTGTGCTGTCTTTGCTGCAGAGCTGGAATGTGAGGTGTAAGACAGAGGTGCAAGGGATGCTCACAATTCCAGCTGATCAACCCCAGCCCCAAGAATTTTTGTGGGAGGCTGGTCCCCAGTGCTGGATAAGCAGCTGTAAACTGCCACTGGAAATCCCCCTAATGCAGGGACCACGGACACACAGGCCAGGTTCTCATGATGTGCTCCTGTCTGCTGCAGGAGGGTGCCTCTGACCTCCATGGGTGGAGGAATGGAGGAACTGTAGGTCAGGCAGTTTAACTCGTGGGTGCTCAGCTCGGGTGCTCCCACATCCCCATGAGTGCCGGGATCTTGTGACCTGGCTGGGATCTCCCTTCTTCTCTCTACAAAGAATGGGGGCATGGGTTCTGCTTGCTGGGGTCAATGGGGACGCTCAGGTCCTTGCAGGGGAAGGTTGGATTCCTCCCCTTTGAACTCCCCTTAGTAGCCAAGCCCATCCATGACCTGACATTTCTTGCATAAGTGCAAGATTTCATGTTTGTTGGCCCCCTCCCCAAAACATCCTAATGTGTCCTGGGGACTTACAGAAGTGACATTTTAGAAAACATGCCTGGAAGCATCCAAGCAAGTTTCTGTTCCCCTTGGGGCAAACAGCCTCTGTGTCTGGGCTCTGGCTGACCCTGTCTGGGTTGTCTTCTGTGAATCACTCCGGTCTGGCCAGGGGAAGGAGCCTTGGTCTGCCTGGAATGGCACTAACCTTCTGCTCTGTCCCTAGGATCCTGGCATCAGCAGCACCAACCCTCAGGGCTCCTACTGGCCTTTTGATGAAGGCTTGAGACGGGGCTTGTTCCTCAACACCACCCAAGGGCAGCCGCTAATCGGGAAGGTGAGGAGCTCCAGGGGGAAATCTCAGCCCTGTGGGTTATGCAATAGCAGGGCTGGGATTTCATCCCTTACTGTAGAGGGAAAGACAAGTGACCAAGAGACTCCTCTGGGATAATTGCCAGAGCGTGGCTCAGCCCTTGTAATCATGTGTCACCTTCTGGTGTCTTCACCAACCCCAGGAGCCAGCCCCTGTCCAGCAGAGGAGCCTGTGGAAGTCATATGAGCTTAACAGAGTCAGCAGTGCTGCCCAAGGCTGGTCATCTGATTTCTCTCCCTTCCTGTTTTTGGTGTGAGGGGAGGTTGCCTGGGATGAACAGTGCATCTCCGGATCTGCTCCGCAGTGGTTCCCTCCCAGTTTGACCCCTCTGACTGTTTGCTCCCACCGTCTCTCCCTCGCCATCTCCAAGGAGGGGGTTTTATTGTAACCTGAAAACGTGGGGGAAAATTATTTGGCTAAAATTCCTGAAATGAGGCAAAGCATGGAGAAATCATGGCTTTTCCCTGACATGCCCTGGGCAAGGTGGTGTCAGAGCTCATGCAAGTGGAGGGAGAGCAGCCACTCCTTCAGCTGTCACTACCCACAGACTGTGGGGAGTCCTCAGCACCACAATACTCCTGGTACCATGGAGGAAGAAGGGGTATGCTGTGTATGTAGCATCCAGGACTCAAAGCATTGGCCTGGGTTTAATTTCTGGGTTATTGCCTGTTTCACCCCTTGGTCCTTCCCCATGCTGTGGTACCCTGTTCCCGGTGGCAGCTCCCCAAAAATCACCTGCTTGATGAACCCGTGGTTTTGTGGTGTTCCTGCAGGTCTGGCCTGGTTATACTGCCTTTGCAGACTTCTCCAACCCAGACACGCACCAGTGGTGGCTGGAGAACTTGCAGCACTTCCATGCCCATGTGCCCTTCGATGGCCTCTGGATCGTAAGTCCCTCCTTGCCCCTGGGTCGCCTCCTGCCAGCACCTCAGCTCACACCCAGTGTGTGCCCTGGCAGGACTGTCTGCAGCTTTTCCAGGTCTATCCACTAATGCCCAAAACCACATACTTGAAATTGCTCCACAATTTTCTTTGCTTAGGACATGAATGAGCCATCCAACTTCATGGATGGGTCTGAAGACGGCTGCCCCCCAGGAGAGCTCGACAGCCCACCCTACACTCCAGGTAAGGAGGAAGATGAGATACAAGGCTGTGCTGGCATATACTGTGTGCTTTGAGATCTCTGCCAACCAAGTGTGATGGGGGAAAACCATTTCTGAGAGACATTCTGTCTGTTTTACACCCTGAATGTCTCCATCTCTGCTTGCATGTGCCAGTATCAGTGTCTAAGCCTTACACACTTGTTGGGGCCATGTCAGGGTGCAGGGTGGGACCATCTGTGTGAGCTTTTGGCACTGGGCTAGCAGCGATGGCTCCTGTGAGAGGGCTGACCCAGAGCCAGCAAGTGTGGGGGGCCCACATGCCCTGCACCCCACCACCACCGGGTGCCAACTGGGCTCTCTCTGCTGGCAGCCGTGCTGGGCGATTCCCTCTCCTCCAAGACAGTGTGTGCCTCAGCAAAGCAGAAAGCCTCAGTGCACTACAACCTCCACAACCTCTACGGGCTGATGGAAGCCAAAGCCACAGCGAGGTACCTGAGCATCCTGCTTCCTGACAGCCTGAGGATGGGATGGGGCAAAATCCTGCTCAGATGGGGATGGGAGTTTGAGTGCCTGACTTCAAGGGGACATAGTCTGGCTGCTCGCAGCCTTCAGGGTGAGAATGACCCAGGGAAAGAGGGGAGCTGACACTGCTCTGGGAGGGATGGGTGGGTGAGGCTGGTCCTGGAGCCAAGCCTTTGCTCAGGTCAACTCTCCAGCACCACAGGGCTGCCACAGGGCTGAACCTGGACCTCTCCCTAAACTGTTGTGGGATAAGGCAAATGCCTGGGGGGCTGCTCTCACCTCCTGCCCCTTCCTCTCCCTCTTGTTTTCCAGTGCCTTGATCCAGATCCGGGGGAAGCGTCCCTTCATCATCTCCCGCTCCACCTTCCCCAGCCAGGGCCGCTACTCAGGGCACTGGCTGGGAGACAACCGGAGCCAGTGGAAGGACATGTATTACTCCATCCCAGGTGGGTGGCACAGAACGCTCTCAGGTGCCCTACCAGCGCTCCCAGCTCCATTGAGCTTTCTGCTTGTTCGGAGACACCTCCTAAACTCCCTGCACCCTGTTGACTGTCCCTGCCCTCAGGGTTGCTGAGCTTCAGCCTCTTCGGCATCCCGCTGGTGGGGGCGGACATCTGCGGCTTCTCCGGCAGCACCTCGGAGGAGCTCTGCACCCGCTGGATGCAGCTCGGTGCCTTCTACCCCTTCGCTCGCAACCACAACACCCAGAACGAGAAGGTCAAGGGCAGCGTGCCCGGTGGGAGGCATCCTAGGGGTGGGATGGGGGATATGAGACACGGGATGGAGGATGCAGGATGGGGGATGCGGGGTGTGGGAGGTGGGGTTGGGGTGGGACGGCTGCTGACTCCCTGCATCTCCCCCAGGCCCAGGACCCGACGGTGTTCAGCCCTGCGGCCAGGACGGCCATGAAGGACGTGCTGCTGACCCGATACTCCCTCCTGCCCTTCCTCTACACCCTTTTCCACCATGCCCACCTGCAAGGGGACACTGTCGCTCGGCCCTTGTTCTTTGAGTAAGACCATCCCCACCAGTAGCTGGGGAGACGCTTGAACTGAATCGCAGAGAAGTGGCTGATTGAGCAGTGTCTTCATCCTGCCACAGGTTCCCCCAGGATGTGGCCACCCTGGGGCTGGACAGGCAGTTCCTGTGGGGCCGGAGCCTGCTGGTGACACCGGTGCTGGAGCCCGGGGTGGACTCGGTCACAGGCTACGTCCCCCAAGGCACGTGGTACGACTTCTACACGGTGAGGAACACCATGGCACTTGCCCAGGGACTGGGTGATCCCTGCTTAACCATCTCAGGACTGCGGGTGGGAAACCATGGCTGAGCCCAGCGAGCCCTGATGGAGGAAGGGGTGGGATGGCTGCTCCCCAGACCCATGCCTGAGCACCCTGTTGTGCCCCTGACTCCCTCACACCTGTATCTCTCACCACCTGCCCAGGGCTCCTCAGTGAACAGCAGTGGGGAGATGTTGAAGATGTCAGCCCCCCTGGAGCACCTCAACCTGCATATCCGGGAGGGTTCCATCCTGCCCACCCAGGTGAGTGCCCACCTGTCACCTCCCTGAGTGCTGTCCCCCAGTACCTCAGCTCCCAGACCCCTATCCCCAGTGCTCACAGCCCTACAGAACCCATGTCTTTGAACCCCAGAAACCAGGGACCACCAGCGAGGCGACTCGAGGGAACCCCCTGCGCCTCATCGTGGCTTTGTCCTCGAGTGCCACTGCCTGGGGGGACCTTTTCTGGGATGATGGCGAGAGCCTGGACACCTTCGAGCGGGGCAGCTACTCCTACCTGGTGTTCAATGTCACGCAGGTGGGATGTGGTGGGGAGGGCAGGAGTGGGGGGTCCTGTGGCATCTGGCCACCTTGAGCTCATGCTGTCCCCTCCTGCAGAACATCTTCACCTCCACCGTCCTCCATGCCAGCACTGAGGCCACCAATGTCACCATTGGCACACTGAGCATCTTTGGGGTGCAGAAGCCACCCAGCAAGGTCCTTCTGAATGGCCAGGAGAAGCCCTTCTCCTACCTGGACAACCAGGTACAGCCTCATCTTGGGGTGCCCTGTCCTGGGTGGAAGTCTCCATCTTGAGGGGCTCCACCCTGCCTCCTCTAGCCCTAAGGGTCACAAGGTTGGTGACCAAAGAGGTGGGTGAGGACATAGTGTGGCTCTTCTGCCACGCCAGGGTTCAGGGGCAGTGAAGCTCAGCCAAGCTGGGTAGGGGAAGGCATTCTCCACTTCCCTCCAGCCAAGGCTGTACCCCAAAATGTCTCCTCTCCCTCCCCAGGTTCTCACTGTGAGTGACCTCGGCATCAGCCTCAGCCAGGGCTTCTCCCTGCAGTGGCTGTGAGCAGGGGGCCATGGGGTCACCCATCCGTCCAGGAGATGCTTGATGCTCCAGCCCCTGAAGCTGGGATGCTGCTGTGGAGGAGGCGTTGGGGACTGTCACCTGCTGCCATGTGTCCCCCCCCAGGCTGGGGACAGGGGTGTGGGATGGGGGCTTGGCCCTCAGGTGCCTCCCGCGTGGCCCCAGGTGGGTGGTGTGGGTGGAGGTGTGGGCACCCACGGTCCCTGCTGCAATAAAGGCACGTGGAGAGCTTGTCATGGGCGTATGATGTGGGGACAGAAGGGGTGGCATGAGGGAGAGGGGGTGGGCGGCCAGCTGCCGTGGAAACCCCAAACTTTACGTCCCTGACCTCGGTTCTCCTGATTCCATCCCCCTGATTCTGGCTGTTCAATTTCAGCCCAAATCCAACCCCTCTAATGCAAGCGCCACATCCCAGACCCCAAATTTCAGCCACTACTCTCAGCTCCCCAATTTCAGCCCTTGACTCCAGCCCCCACCCCACTCCTTTGACTCTTTGATCCCAGACTGCACAGTCAGAGATTCACAGAATCGATTAGGTTTGAAAAGACCTCAGAGAGCATCAAGTCCAACCTGTGACCCGTCACCACCTTGTCAACCAGACCATGGCACCAAGTGCCACATCCAGTCATTTCTTCCGTGACTCCACCACCTCCCTGGGCAGACCATTCCAATGTTTAATCACCCTTTCTGTGAAGAAATTCCCCCTTATGTCCAACCTAAACCTAAACCTCCCCGGCGCAGCTTGAGGCTCTGTCCTCTTGCCCGTGAGAGGGGACCCAGCCCAGCATCACCCAACAGCCCCTAATTTCAACCCCTGAATCCAGCGCCCGATCCCAGCCCCTTGACTCCCCTCTCTGATTCCCAGACCCCCGCAATCAGCACCACCAAACAGCCTCTAGTCTCAGTCCCCCCAGTCCCAGCCCCTCCCTGGCCTCAGCATCCCCAAATCCCCCCAAGACTCTCCCGACCGCTCCCGCCGGGGGTGCAGTTTTCCCCCTCCGCCGGCAGGACGGCGCTGCCCGGCGGGGCGGGGCGGGGGCGGGCGGGCGGTGCCGCCCTGGGGCAGCAAAGCGGCGCTTCCGCTTCCGTGTAGCGGCCGTCGGTCCGTCCGTCCCTCGCTCGTCCCGGGTGTCCGTCGCTCGGTCTGTCCCGGGGGCCGGTGCTCTGCGGCGCCATGAACCGGCCGAAGGCGGGCGGCCGTGCGGCGGCCCAGCGCCGTGCCCAAGCCCTCGGTGAGTCCCGCGGGGCCGGGCGGGGAGCGGCTCTCTCTGTCACTGTCACTGTCCCTCACTGTCCCCGTGTTCTCCCCTCGCAGCGCACCCGCCGCCCGGAGACTTCATCGCGCTGGGCTCCAAGGGGCAGAGCGGCGAGGGCAAGGCGGCCGTGGCGCTGCTGAAGCCGGCGCCGCCCGGGCTGCCCTCGGAGCGCAAGCGGGGACGCGGCCGCCGCCTGGCGGGCCGGCGGGGCTGCCCGGGCTCACCAAGCGCCCCAAGCTCTCCTCCACGCCGCCCCTCAGCGCCCTGGGCCGCCTGGCAGAGGCGGCCGTGGCGGAGAAAAGAGCCATCTCGCCCTCCATCAAGGAGCCGTCTGTCATCCCCATCGAAGGTGAGGCCTCGCTGTGCTCCTGCCCTCGCAGGAAGCCTGGGAGAAACTTCTGTTCTTCTTTCCCTGGAGCCTTTCTTGAAGCCCATACGCTGTATTTCCTCTGCTGGATATAGGGCTGAAATCAGTTTTCTCCTCTGTTTGCATTGGGCTATGGTCATTCTGTCTGAGAGCTGTTTAATAGCAGCATCTGAAATAATCCCTGAGGAAATCTCTGAGTCTGGATTGTGGTATTTTATTCCCATATTTCTATAGCACAGTCCGGGTCTGAATGTTACCTTCTGAATTGTCATTCCATTTCTAGTGTTTGATACATTTGCAGAGGAGTCTGCTAGCATGAAAAGATAATCAAGGGGCATTGTCAGGTGTGAAACAAAACTTTTAGTGGCAGTTGGGTAGGAAAAAGCTGTGGCCGGGGCTGTAGGTGAGCTGGTCCATGCTTTGCTGTCCTGCAGCATCTCAGGGCAGGTTGTTTCACATGAGGGTAATGCTGATGCCTATGTGTTGGTGCTTGCAGTTGTCCCCACGGTGCTGTTGGATGAGATTGAGGCAGCAGAAGCAGAAGGCAACGATGACCGTATTGAGGGGGTGCTGTGTGGAGCTGTGAAGCAGCTGAAGATGAACAGAGCCAAACCTGACACCACGCTGTACCTGAGCCTCATGTACCTGGCAAAAATCAAACCAAACATATTTGCCACCGAAGGGGTTATTGAGGTGAGGACTCGTGCACTTACTGATGCATCCCTGCTGCCAGCTTGTGAGTAGAGTTGCTCTCTCAGGTCAGAGCATGGCTTTGTAAATAATAGACCTCTGATATCTTCGTAAATGCCAGAGCTCTCTTGCAAGCTGGTGCAGTTTGTATTTCTCTTTCTACAGTTTCTCTGTATGCTTTCTTGCCAGATGACTTGTTTATTTTATTTTTTGTGGATGACATTCCAGGCGCTGTGCAGCCTCCTCCGAAGAGATGCCTCCATCAACTTCAAAGCCAAAGGGAATAGCCTCGTGTCAGTCTTGGCCTGCAACCTTCTCATGGCAGCTTATGAAGAGGATGAGAACTGGCCAGAGATCTTTGTCAAGGTTGTTGAACCACGGAGGCTTCTGTGTGGTGGGCAGTCTGGGTGAAATCAGCCAGAGTTGGGAGGTGTGGGTGTGTTGGGATAGGAGAACAGCAGTGGATTTATTCCTGCTATAGGGAAGGGGGTAGCCAGTGTCCTGTGGATTTTTGCTCTTATGTGACTTGCCTGCAGTTATCTGGTCTGTTTTTCATCTGTGGTCATGCTAGTTTCCTACTTTGCATTTGCATATTGGAAATCCATAAAAACTCACAAATATTCCCTTGATTAATCAGTTAAAAAAGAAACATGAACATGGATTGTGTTCCCTTCTGCAGGTGTACATTGAGGACTCCCTTGGGGAGCGCATCTGGGTGGACAGCCCTCACTGCAAGACATTTGTGGATAACATCCAAACAGCTTTTAACACAAAGATGCCTCCTAAGACCATGCTCTTGCATGGAGAAGTTGGACGTAGCGGAGGGGACCTTAGTGCTGGTAAGAAGATGTTTGGGAACCAGGAACAAAGGTTTAGGGAGAGGATGGAGCCTGCTGCACTTAGTGACTTGTGAGAATAGTTTTTTATTGAATGGAGTCATGTAGACCAGACTTTGAGTTCCAGCCACTGCATTTCCTCTCTTTAAGGCTCTTTCACATCCAGGGGATGTCTGAGGGTAGTGAAAAGTGGGCCTGTATGTGTGATGCGGTGTGAGGACATGACTGACTGTGGCCTCCTTCAGTGTGATTGATCTCTGGAAAGGGGAGTTGTCTTATGAAGTGTGCTGTGTCTCTCTCAGGGAGTAGCCCACACCCCTCCATGACAGAGGAGGAGGATAGCCAGAGTGAGCTGCTGATTGCAGAGGAGAAGATGAGCCCAGAGCAGGCGGGCCAGCTCATGCCCAGGTACAGTGCCTTGTCCTCTCCTGACACAGCCGTGTGGTAGATGTGTCTGCACTCACCCACCCTGCAGAGCTGTGGCAGAGAGCTCCCTCTCTGCACTACCTGTCCTGTGGCACCTGCTGGGGGATGTTGAGCATCGGATAAAACTGGTTCCAGAAGAAAAGAGTAGATTTTATTTGTTCATAATGTATACCACAAACAAGAAAGAATGCTGATCTTTGCACTAGCTTGTGTGGAAATGAATAAAGTGCAGTTTGTGTGGTCCAGGTATGAAGACCTTGCAGAGAGTGTGGAGGAATATGTCCTAGACATGCTGCGGGACCAGCTCAACCGGCGCCAGCCCATGGACAATGTCTCCAGGAACCTTCTTCGACTACTGACAGCAACCTGTGGCTACAAAGAGGTGCGTCAGATGGCTGTGCAGAGGCTGGAGATGTGGCTGCAGAACCCAAAGGTAAGGATAGGAGCTGCTGAAACACAACTCTGGTGTGAAATCCAGGCAGGAGGGCTGCATACTGTATCCCACTTAAGTTTCTGATCTGTAATGGCAAGTGACTGGAGCCTTTCTGCTCTTCCTCTGCAGTTGACCAAGCCAGCTCAGGACTTGCTGATGTCAGTCTGTATGAACTGCAACACCCACAGCTCAGAGGACATGGAAGTTATCTCCAACCTGATCAAGATTCGTCTCAAGCCAAAAGTCCTTCTCAACCACTACATGCTGTGTGTCAGGTGAGTGACTGGGTCTGTCAGAGAAAGCACTGTGGAAGATGTGTCCGGCCTTGATTGGTTTTAAATACCAACTTGGACTAAGGGGTGTCCTGTGTTCATTTATATGAATTTCATTGTCCTGGAAGTCTTTCAATAGTCCTTTGATATTGTTGGCATATGTGCTGTTCCATCCTTTTCACTTTTGTGTGCTAAATAGTTCAAAGAGAAGTAAGAACAGTGTGTCCAGCTGCAATGAAATGTCAGTTCAGGTATCTCTGGTCTTCCCTTGCAGAGAACTGCTGAATGCACACAGGGATAACCTGGGCACCACCATTAAGTTTGTGATTTTCAATGAACTATCAAATGCAAGAAATCCCAACAACATGCAGATCCTGTATACTGTGCTTCAGCACAGCTCAGAGCAAGCTCCAAAGGTAGGTGCAGTGTCCTGTGTGACTGATGGTGACCCCAGAACCCCACTTGACAGATTTAGTTGAGTTGAGGCTCAGATGAATCTTTTCACAGACAACTGTCTGATCTGTACCATACTATTATATTATTATTATTTTTGGTAGAAATAAACATACATGGGCATTTTCTAACTCCCACATTCTGGGTGACCAATCTTGTGGTAAGACAGTTTCATGAGAGAAGCTTATTACAGTTTGGAGGACAGGACGCCACCAGCGAGGTTTCCTCGTGTCTTCATTTTGTGGATGCAGATTCATTACAGTGCACTGAAGGTTTTCTCTTTCTGTGTGGCCCCAGTACCTGGCAATGGTGTTCCAGGACCTCTTGACCACCAAGGACGATTACCTGCGGGCCTCGCGGGCTCTGCTGCGAGAGATCATCAAACAGACAAAGCATGAGATCAACTTCCAGGCCTTCTGTCTGGGCCTTATGCAGGAACGCAAGGAGGCCCTGTATGCAGAAATGGAATTCAAGGTACCACTTTTTGACTCTTCTGCT